CCGGGCTGTGGTGGGTATGTGGGCCTGCGGGCCGCTCCAAGCAACAGCCTGGTGGACCAAACTCTCACAAGTCGAGCCTGGCCTCGGGCCGGGCTTGGGGAGTAGAAGAACTCCCAGAACCCCATCAACCAGGTAACCAGGTATCACCTTGAGGTCTACCTCTGTTGGTCTTTTGCTGCATGGTAATTGATCACCCTGAGTGTGCTGGGAGTTTTCTTCCTCCCTTGTTGTCCTTAGGGTAAGGGGTAGTTTGCACTAGTAGGGGTGCAGGGTACTGCACGGCTAGTTATTACCTATTATAGCGACCGGCTCTGTTTCGCCTGGGATACGTTGTCCTCTTGCGGCATTTTTCTTATGTTTTTGTTTTCCTGCCTGGTGGAGGTGGGGGGGGAACCGGCCTTTTGGCTCATGGCCCCCTGTCTCTGACTTAGGTTTTATATATCTCTGTTTCTGGGTGGTACCCCCTGCTAGGCGTCCGTGAGTGGACACGTCCAGAGGGTTCAGCTCTTAGCAGTTTTGATTGGTAGACTTGGGCGCTGGTTCGCAGTACCCTGCCTGGGCTTACCATTAGCGATACCAGTCTAAGGGCCCTGGGAAACCCAGCGGGGGCGCTAGGAGTCCGACGGATGCGATCCCTGGGTCTCCTCTTGCGTTGTGCAAGTTTGAGGGTACTCAGTTTGCTGAGTACCTCTTTCCCCCAGTTCTGCTGTCACTCCACGTCCTAGCCGGCCCAGCCTTGGTTTCAGGCGCTGCTTGCTCGGTGTCCAAACTCGGGGGGTTTCGAGTGGCTCCGCCTCTTTTTAGATGATTGGTCTTGTTCGTTATGTGACTGATTCGATCTTGTCCTCGAGTCTTCACATCTGGTATTTTTGACTCGGGGTCTATCACCATCTGTATGGTGATTAGGTGGCTTTGTTGATGGTGTCCCACCTGCGTGCTCATCTCGGGGGCAGTATGAAGTTTCTTGGCGGTCCTTCCGTTTCTTTTTGTCTCTTCGTAGGTGTACTTCGCTTTCTGTTCAGGTGGTGGTCTTGTCCTTTCTCTTGTGGCTGTTTCAGGGCTTTCATCTTATGCCGAGTACTGTCGCCTCGTATCGTGCAGCACTGGTGGAGCCGCTGCGTCTTGCTTTCAGCATTGATGTTACTTCTGCGCCATTTTGCAAGCTGTCTCGGGATGTTATCTCTCCTTCAGCCTGCTCATGCACCCCCTGAGCCGTCCTGGTCGTTAGACAGGGTGCTTTCTTAACTCTCTTCCCCTTCGGTTTGTAGTGGCCCCTTCGTTTCAGGATTCTCTCTCCAAGGCTCTTTTTTTTTTTTTCCTGTTGGCATTGCCCCCTGGGGGTCGGGTCGTGGAGCTTCATGTTCTCTGGCACAGAGGTTTCTGCTCTTTTGGCTGTGGTGATAGGGTTATTCTTTTGCGGCCATCTCCTTCTTTTCTGGCGAAGAATGAGATGGCTGCTTTCCGGAGGGGTCCTTGGGTTGTTGGTGCTTGGTTGGTCAGGTAAGGGGTGCATCATGGGTTGTGTCGAGTTGCAGCTCTCTGCCGTTATTTGCGCGCCACGGCGTCTGTGTCCAGGGACACGCTTTGGGTTGATCTGGTTTCCCTTCTTCCAGGTTGTCCACAAGGTTATTCAGTCTAGCCAGCCTGCAGTCTATCCCCCGTGCCCACGATGTTCGTAAATTTGCTGCTCTTGCTGCCGTCTTCGGTCACGTATCTTGTGCTGACATTCGGGTGTGGTTTTTTTGCGGTCGAACAGGGTCCTGGTTGCGCGCTACCTGGTCAATGTTCCGGGGCCTAGTCAGGCCTGTGTCACGTTGTGTCGGTGGTTGCAGCCAGTTGTCTCGACTTCGCGTTTAGAGGCGAGTGCCTACCGCATCCCGGGTAAGTCTCTTGTTTTTGTCTTTTGGTAAGTAGCTCTGGGGAGCCAAAGGGGCTACCCCCAGAAAACCAGCATTGAATGTAATGAAATGCCATTTTCTGGGTGAGACCCTGAGGCTCCCCGGCATTCCTCCCTTCCTCCCTTCAGTCCGCGATTTTTTTTGTGTGTTGACATTCAGCCTTTGAACTGGAGGTGTGGGTCGCCGGAACAAAGGGTCTGGGGTTCCATCTTTCCCCTCTCGGAGAGGAGGGAGCTGCACAGACAGCAGCGTGGCAACGTGGTGACGTCATGCTTGTTTGCTTGTTTTTTTGGGGGGAGTTCTGTCAACTCGTTTGACTTTTAGTAGTACAGTAGTTTCATCCAGAATAGGGGGTTTGTTTTGGGATGCTTACCTTTCTGGATGCCTGACCTGGTCAATGGCAGACATAAAATGTTCCAATTCATATGTGCATTTCTATAGGCCGTTGTTCCTCGTGCCTCACTGAGGGTGCCATGTTCTGGCTCGTGGTCCCTGTTAGGCCTAAGAACTCCATTCACACTGATGCCAAAGTCTAATGGTTTCATATCAGCCTCGATAAGCTCCAGGAAACCTCCGGGTCTCACCCAAAAAATGGCATTTCATTACATTCAATGCTAGTTTTTTCTTGTAGGAAATAATATAGTTTAATCACACTACAGGCATACCTCAGTTTAAGAGTTTAATTGGTTCCTGGAGACGCCTCGTATTCCGAAAACTCGCATTCCGAAGCTAATTTCCCCATAAGAAATAAAGGGAAATGAATTAATCCGTTCTTGACTACCCCAAAAACCCCACATCAAACTAAATTTTTATACCTAATTCATCTAAATAAACCTACAAAACTATGTTCAAGTTATTACTTACCTTGCTGTTGAATGCTGTAGGCGTATGGAAGATGGTGAGGAGAGGGGAGGAAGAGAGGAGTTACTGTTTGGAAGGGGAGTCCCCTTCCATTATCACATCAGGCAGTGAGGTCTTCACTGGTGTGCACACTCTGGCACATTTTGCCTGCATACCACTAGGACTTGCTTGTTTTACTAAGAATTTATCTAATGACACTTGTTTTTCCCTACATTTTAACACTTGTCTGTAGTAAGACATCACATTATCATTTAAAAGGTCAATGCAACGGCCTGCTACAGCTTTATCTGGGCGAGTTTTTTCAACAAAACTTTGCAGTTCTTCCCATACTTCACACATTTTCTTAATCAAGAAGGGACATCCTCTACTGCCTCTACTCACAGCTATTTTCTTAGGTTGAACCTTACCAATGGCTTTCTTGAGACCCATGGCAAGATATATAATGACAACTTTTATGCTCAAATGGCCAAAAAACCGATAAAAAACTGTAAATCCTTGTGAAGAATTCAGGTGGGATAGTCACTGGACACGAGACACTGGTAAACTGAGGCGCGATCGCCATGCCACCACGCGCCAGTCGGCCTGTACACGTATCAACAAACTCGCGTCCCGAGGTAACCCTCGCCTTCCGAGACATATTTTTGGAGTAAATCCTGCTCGTCTTCCGAAAAACTCGCATACAGGGACACTCGCATTCCGAGGTACCACTGTATATCTATATAAATAAAAATGGAACTGTTCGTTTGTGCATAAGTGCTAATCTCTGAAAGTTCTTCACCGAATGTTTTGAAATTTTCACACAACGTTCCATTCCATATACCTACTATATAGATGTCACGTCTGTAACGGCAAAAAACCATTCTTTTCATGTGAGGGAAATTTTCAAAACCTCTTTACTGATTATTTTGAAATTTTGACACAACGTTGCATTCGAATAGGCGCATCTTTTTATATATATACTATATACATGCCTCATCTCTGACAGGAAAAAAACATGCTTTTTTTTTTTTTTTTGAAAAACAACGCCATCTGTTGGACATAAGAGCAACACACGCTGTAATCTCCAAAAGTTCTTCACCGATTGCTTTGAAATTTTGACACAACGTTGAATTCAAATTGGTGCGTCTTTTTATGTACCTGCCACCCCTGTGACAGATAAAAACATGCGTTTTTGGAAAAACAGCGCCATCTGTTGCACATAAGACCAACACGTGCTATACTGAATATGTTACGATTCCATTTCAGTGTTTCCGATTTCATTGATAAATTTAATTTTCATAAATTTTGATTTTTTAATTTTGATTTAATTATTTTGTGTGACATTGCCTTGGAATTGAGCTATGTTGTTTACCATGCCATTCATTTCGTGAGTATAGTTTATTTTTTAATTTTTTAATTTTTCATTTGTTTTTTTTAACTGTTTTTCTTATATTTCAGTGATGGGAACATCTAGGGCCAGATTCACGAAGCAGTTACGCAAGTACTTACGAACGTGTACATCGTTCCTCAATCTTTGATGGCTTTGGTTACATTTATTAAACAGTTTACAAGCACGAAAACTTGCCAATCAACTGTTGTTATTGTTATAAAAAGCCTCCTGGTGCTTCGGAGCTTATTAACTGTTTAATAATCATAAACAAAGCTGCCAAAGATTGAGAAAAGATGTTCAGGTTTGTAAGTGTTTGCGTAACTAATTTGTGAATCTAGCCCCAGATCATTTGATGGTCCCAATTTTCTGATGGGAACATCAGATCATTTGATCATCAGACGAGGGAGTGGGGAATGGTGGGTAGGACGAGGGGACGGGAGTGGGGAATGGTGGGTAGGACGAGGGGACGGGAGTGGGGGATGGTGGGGAGGACGAGGGGACAGGGGAGGGGGTAATGTTGGGGAAGGACGAGGGGAATAGAGAATGGTTGGGAGGACAAGGGAATAGTGGGGAGGATGAGTGGATAGTGGAATGGTTTGGAGGACGAGGGGATGCTGGAGTGGAGGATGAAGGGGAAGAAAAAGGGACGAGGGAGTGAGGAATGGTTGGGAGGACGAGGGGACGGGGGAGTGAGGAATGGTTGGGAAGACGAGGGGACGGGGGAGGGGGGAAAATGGTGGGGAGGACTGGGAGACGGGGGAAGTTTGCTGTGGCTCAGCAACGCACATGTGTTGCTGAGCCACAGCAATGCGTGGCCGGGTACAGCTAGTTTATTTATATATCTTGTATTGATACAGTATTAATATTTACAGATGCTGAGTAGATTGGTAAACTGTCCACGTGTAATTCGAACAATGCCAAACACTCCATCAATGGTTGGACAGGGATGCTGCTGTGAGTATACTCCACTTGAATATCCCAGAATTTTGCCACATGTTTGATACTAGAAATAAGTTATACTTTGGTAACAGACTAAACAATCTCAACCTGATCATACTCGAAAGAGAAACCCAGAATAAATACAGTAATGTGCCAGATACTGAGAGGGATAAAGGAGATGGTCAGGTACAACCTTCAATACAATAGCTATTATATAATACAGGAAAACAATGCATGAACACAGATGGAAATTAAAGTCATCAGTGAACCAGAGAGATGTGAAGAACTATTGGGTTCATTATCTGCAAGAAAATAAACATGTGGAATGAAGTGTAAGTAAATGTCAAGATGAACTGGCTCCACAATACCAAATATCTGGTACCACAATATACTCACTCCACAATATCCGGTACCTAAAAATTGGGAGTAATAGTTGCATCTGGTACCCGATAGTTAAGAGTTGGGTGACAAAGGGTGGGGGTCTTGTTCTTTGCATACACAGGGTGGGGGTCATACATACAAAGGGTGGGGTCATACTCTGCATGTTTCTTCTGCTCCTTCTGTCTCGGGCGTTGTTTCACCTCCGGCCTGCTCATGCCCCTTATCTCTCTTCCCCCTCGGTTTGATGTGGCCCCTTCAGTTCAGGATTGTTTCTCAGAGATTTCTGCTCTTTGGGGTTCTGGTGATTTGGTTTGTTCATTTGCAACCGTCTCTTTTTTTCTGGTGAGATTGGGACGGCTGTTTTCTGGAGGAGGTGCATCTTCTTGTGTCCGGTTGTGGCTCTTAGCCATTGCCTGCGTGGCATGGCCTCTGTGGCCTTACCTTGAGGTTACCTGGAGGTGCTTCCGGGGCTTAGCGTCCCCGCAGCCCGGTCGTCGACCAGGCCTCCTGGTTGCCGGACTGATCAACCAGGCTGTTGGACGCGGCTGCTCGCAGCCTGACGTATGAGTCACAGCCTGGTTGATCAGGTATCCTTTGGAGGTGCTTATCCAGTTCTCTCTTGAACACTGTGAGGGGTCGGCCAGTTATGCCCCTTATGTGTAGTGGAAGCATGTTGAACAGTCTCGGCCTCTGATGTTGATAGAGTTCTCTCTCAGAGTGAGCACCGTGGAGCATCCTGTGTGTTCGGAGGAAGACAAGCCTGTACATAATCGTGTAGTGATAACCCCCGTGTGCAACTGTTATATATTTATTTATGGTGGTGGTGAATATATATATATAAATTGGAACATTTGTATCCCTCCCGGGTATGGGTGCCGGTCGGCCGAGCGGACATCACGCTGGACTTGTGATCCTGTGGTCCTGGGTTCGATCCCAGGCGCCGGCGAGAAACAATGGGCAGAGTTTCTTTCACCCTATGCCCCTGTTACCTAGCAGTAAATAGGTACCTGGGTGTTAGCCAGCTGTCACGGGCTGCTTCCTGGGGGTGGAGGCCTGGTCGAGGACCGGGCCGCGGGGGACACTAAAAAGCCCCGAAATCATCTCAAGATAAGATAACCTCCCCCTTTAATTTAACTTGCGTTACGGAACACACCCCTTGAAAGCCTCTACTAACCTGGGGCCGAATACCCAAACTCCCATCAGAGAAGAACCCGGTTGCGTCCCAGTAGGGCCGTAACACCGCTGCTTTTCAACGGGAGTATTCTGCACATCCTGCCATGTCTTCTGGTCTCATGTGATGATATTTCTGTGTGCAGGTTTGGGACCAGCCCCTCAATTATTTTCCATGTATAGATTATTATGTATCTCTCCCGCCTGCGCTCAAGGGAATACAGATTTAGGCTCTTTAGTCGGTCCCAGTAGTTTAGAGGTTTTACTGAGTGGATTCTAGCAGTAAAGGATCTCTGCACGCTCTCCAGGTCAGCAATTTCTCCAGCTTTGAAAGGGGCTGTCATTGTGCAGCAGTACTCTACTCTAGAGAGCACAAGCGTTTTGAAAAGTATGATCATCGGTACAGCATCTCTAGTGTGAAAAGTTCTTGTTATCCAACCTGTCATTTTTCTTGCAGTTGTGACGGCTACTTTATTGTGTTCTTTAAAGGTAAGGTCTTCCAACATGAGTACACCCAGATCCTTTACATTGCCTTTTAATTCTATGTTATGATTTGCCTGAGTTTTGTACGTGGTTTCCGTTTTTATATTTTCATTTTTTCCGTAGCGCATGAGCTGGAACTTATCTTCATTAAACACCATATTATTTTCTGTAGCCTATAGAAAGACCTGATCTACGTCTGATTGGAGGTTTGCCGTGTCCTCTATGTTGCCTACTCTCATGAAGATCCTAGTGTCATCTGCAAAGGATGATACAGTGCTATAGGTTGTGTTCTTGTCTATGTCCGATATGAGGATGAGAAAAAGTACTGGAGCAAGCACAGTACCCTGGGGGACTGAGCTCTTCACGGTTGATGGGCTGGATGTTATTTTGTTGACTATTACACATTGGGTTCTGTTAGTCAGGAAATTGTAGATCCATCTGCCTATTTTTCCGGTAATTCCTTTTGAACGCATTTTATGTGCAATAACACCATGGTCACATTTGTCGAAAGCTTTTGCGAAATCTGTGTAAATTACATCAGCATTTTGTTTGTCGTCCATAGCATCTAGTGTCATATCATAGTGGTCCAACAACTGCGACAGGTAAGAGCGCCCTGTTTTGAAACCATGTTGTCTGGGGTTATGGAGGTGCTGTGATTCCATGCATTTTGTGATCTTACTTCTTAGCACTCAAAATTTTTTATGATGTGCGATGTTAGTGCTATCAGTCTGTAATTTTTTGCATCTGCGTTATTTCCTCCTTTATGGAGTGGTGCTATCTCTGCTGTTTTTAGTATGTCAGGGATAACGCCAGTACGTATCTAGGCATTGTCTCCACAGAATGTGAAGGGCTTGCGATAGTGTTTTTTTTTACAGTTCTTGATGAATATGGAGTTCCAAGAATCCGGGCCTGGTGCAGAGTGCATAGGCATACTGTTTATGGCTTCTTCAAAATCCAGTGGGGATAGGGTGACGTCTGATATATGATTTGATGTTGGTATCGTATCCATGAAAAATTCATTTGGGTTATCAATCTTTAGTGCGTTTAGTGGCTCGCTGAAAACAGTCATACTGCTACCTCAGTAACTTGCTCATTTCTTTGTTGTCATCCGTGAAAGTTCTATCTCCCTTTCGCAGGGGCCCGATACTATATGTTGTTTTTGATCTTGATTTTGCATAGGAGAAAAAATATTTCGGATTTCTCTCTATTTCACTGATGGCCTTTTGCTCTGCCTCTCCTAGGTTTTGTATGATTCTTGTTCTATTGTTTCTATTTCTCTACCTAACCTTCTTCGCCGTTCTTGAGATAGGGTGCGAGATAGGGTGCCTTGGCCGCGCTTTGGGTTGATCCGGGTTCCCTTCATCCCTGTTCCAGGGTTCGGGTCTCCTGGGTCGTCCATGGGGTCATTCGGTGTTGCCAGTTGTCTTGCTATCGGGTTCCAGCACGTGGTTTCCGCCTCCCGAGTTTTTCCCTCTTTTGTCCTTTTGTCTTTGGGTAGACAGCGCCGGGAAGCCAAAGGGGTTCCTCCCAGAAAAACCAGTGTTGAATGTAATGAAATGCCATTTTCTGGGTGAGACTCGGAGGCTCCCTGGCATCCCTCCCTCCTTCTGGTCAGCATCTTTTTTGCATGTTTTGATATCCCATCTCGGAACTGAAGGTGTAGGTTGCTAGCGCGAAGGGTCAGGGCTCCCCCTTCCCTCTCCCAGAGAGGGCGTAGTTGCGCAGATGGCGGTGCAGCAAGTGGTGACGTCATGCTCGTTTGCTTGCTTTTCTTTGAGTTCTGTCCACTCGTTTGACTTTCAGTAGTACAGTAGTTTCAACCAGAATAGAGGGATTGTTTTGTGATGCTTACTTTTCTGGGTGCCGGACCAGGTCGATGGCAGACATAGAATGCTCCAAATCACATATGTTATTCTGTAGGCTATTGCTCCTTGTGCCTCTGAGGGGGCCCAGGTTCTGGCTCATGGTTCCCGGTAGGCCTATGAACTCCATTCACACTGACTGATCCCAAAGTCTAATATATTACATATCAGCCTGGATAGCTTCGGCAAGCCTCCGGGTCTCGACCAGAAAATGGCGTTTCATTACATTCAACGCTGGTTTTATGTTCAGAAACCAAAAAAAGCAAAAAAAAAAACAAAAACAATTAAATTCTTCACAAAGAATTCAAGTGCGATCGTCACTAGGCAAGAGACACTAGTAAACTGAACCGCGCCTCGCCCGTGCCACCAGGAACCACGAGCTCAGTCGACCCATACATGTATCAACAAACTTGCCAAGTGAGGCAAAGCTTGTATACCAACTCGAATTTTACAAAGAAATTGAGCTCGTAACCGAAAAATTTGTAAAGCGGGGCATTTGTTAATCGAAGTTCCACTGTATATTGCACTTCCGGTTTCGTTGCACTTGGTGAGTAGTTCCACTACTGTATTTGCAGACCACAAACACAGTACATGGTTAACCTTTCATATTGTATGGAAATACCTGAATTTACTTGAGGAGTCACTAACATTAGTGGCCTCGACGAGGACAGGAAGCTAGCGGCTTGGCATAGGACTCCCATTAACTTTGGTGCGGGGATGACGCAGTATGGTGTCAAAAATGTATTTGACAAATGTGCGGGAATGACGCATTGGTGCGTCAAAAATTAAAAAATTTTGGCCTGCTTTCGGCTTGGCCGCAGGTGGGGCGCGTCGTGGTTTTAGACATTATATGCACATACTCCTGTAGGGAATTCTATTGCAAACACGTTGATACCAAAATGAAAACCCTAGGACAAGAATTGAGGTGACCAAAGTGGAAAGAGTATACACATTTTGTTGCAACTTTCATGCTCGTGGGTAATGTGCGCCCAATTTCTCGGTTTGTTGCGGATGGTACGCTGGGCTTTTGAACTTTATATGCATATGCTCCAGTAGGGACTTCTATTGCAAACACATTGATACCAAAATTAAAGACCTAGGACAGGAATTGAGATGACCAGAGTGAAAGGAGTATACACATTTATTGCTCTTGCGCGCTCACGGGTAGCGAGCTGCCTACCTTGGGGTGGTCTGGCGCTCGCTCGCCCAGAGCGTGAAAGTGTTAAATATATTCACTACTCTCTTCATACTTTAGCATTACCCAGTTCCACTTTTTCATGGGGTGGGCACTACTCAAGAATAAACAGAGGTTAAGTATTTTATGGAGATTTGTGTATGGTTATCAGTAATAATACAGTACCCTGGTAGTTTAATCAATATTGTATTTTTTTTATATAGTAAAGAATTAAAATGAGAAAGGAAGTACTGTAATAATTATCAAAATAAGGCACAAAAAATTTAAGACTATTTAGCACCATCTGTGTCACAGAATATTAAACAAAACTCCTAGATGTAAGTAGTGAATTTATTTTTAATATTTCAGTATACACCCTTGGCACACACACTTCTTCCGGTGACAGTGCTGTCGTGAGTACAATGTTTAAATCTGTTGGATTCTGTGCCGAAATTCCTGAGTACCAAATGGATGCTGCTTGTGGCTTGGCAGGATCGGGACCAGCATATGTAAGTATGTATAGCACTGTATTATGAAGCAATTCAAATGAAGGGTAATAAGTATGTCATGCATGTACAGAAGAATCTTCTATAGGCACACTTTTTGAAGTTGGAGACTTATGGATACAGTGCAGCATAAGGTATTCTGTGGTTGTGGGACATTACACCCCAGAATCTAAAGTAAATTACAACACCCCAGAAAGTATAATACACTGCTGTATTTGTACATTATGATGTCCTGAATGTACAATATTACACAGTACAGTATGGTGCTCCTGAATGTATCATACCTGGTACTATACAGTAGGGTATTCTAGAATTTAAAAGACTACTATGTTCAGTGCAGTACTGAATTGCAGTATTAAATAATGCTCTTGAAATATGCATTGCAATAGTACTGTATTTTTACAGTACAGGCCAGGTTCTGGTTCGTGGACCCCGGTAGGCATTAGAACTCCATTCGAAGGGCTGTTGCCACAGTCTAATATATGCATATCAGCCCGGTAAGCTCTGGGGAGCCTCCAGGACTCGCCCAGAAAATGGCATTTCATCACATTCAACGCTGGTTTTTTATTTATATATACAAGAGTTCTTACATTCTTCTAAAGTCTCTGACATGCATAGTGTTTTGGGCAGGCCCTTATTCATAGTTTGCCCTGGAATATGACCCACCAAACTGTTTAACAAGCAGGGTCACATTCACTGCAGGATGAACAGAGGCGTAAGGTTAAGGATTAGTACTTAGTCAATCCTTCCCAACCAGGATGCGAACTCAGGTCAAATTGGGTTCCACTGCTCCGCAGGGGGATACTACTGCACCATAGGGACTGCTTAATAATTCCTAACTGTATGAATAGTTCCACTCTCTCGTAAGTATTTTAGTGGAAAAAGATTTGCCATCTATTAGCATATGGTGTCTTCAATTATTGGATACTGAAACTCTATTCAATAATTTGTTGAACTGATGGATGTTAATCATTATTAGAATAATGTTGTATGTATCACCCAGTTGTATTGATGGCCATACTTTACACTACTTCATTTTCTACCATGGTCACTGGCAACACCAGTGACCTGGTGGAATTTTCTCTCAGCTCACTATGAATAAAGTATGGCAACTAAAATTTTGGGTAATTTTCTGAGTGGCATTTTTTCACTATACAGTAAATATGAAAGACTATTTTTGTTTAATTTCAGAAAGAAGTTTTACTTATTGTATCTGAGCTTCAACAATTGCACACTCAAAGGGTTAATGTCTCTTGGTTTGAAGAATGTCAGCATTTATATTAGAAAGTGATTAATATAATAAAAATTATGTTCTTATTTGTCTTTCAATACAGTAATATAGTACCAATAAACTAACCTGAAAGTTTTTGTTTTTTTACTAGATATATGTTGCCATAGAAGCCCTTGCAGATGGGGGAGTGAAGATGGGTCTTCCTCGCCAACTAGCCCAGACCATAGCTGCTCAAATGGTAAGGTTTGGTGTTGATTACACTACACCTCTAGTATCATTACACTTAATTCATACCCACACAAGAGTTTTAAACATAGCATATTAATTAGGTATTATTGTTAGGAATACCTTGAAATTTTGTCAAGTTATCTTTTCTGGGAGGGTCCACTCAGTAGCTCCTTGCCAAACCCTACAAAATTGCAACAGTCCCCTTTGAGATTTCTGGCCTACCAGGAGCCAGGACCAATAGTTGACTCTGAGGTAAGGGTAGCATAGAAATCTGAGATGTTACCAAGGACACTTTAAAGGACAAGGGATGTTAAAGGACACTTTAAATTAACAGTTTTCATGTTTTGAAACCTTAGGTTCCATGTTGCCCTCCTAACCTATTAAGAGGACCCAAAACTTGCTGTTTTGGGTCTATTTTATTTGGAAAATAAATTTCCAATTTGGATTACGGCAATTTTTGGCCGTATCGCATACGAGAGAAAAGGGACGTTATTTGTAAGAGGACGGGTTGCAGTGACACCTTCCACCCTGAGTTCTGTGGGGTTTTGCTCTCCCCATGTGGCTCTACTTTCTACCCTCCTCATGTGGTTCGGACATGCTGAGTGACTTCTGTTTTGAGTTGGCTTGCTCATTTATGGCAGTCTGGGTTCTATGCCTGGTTGGTTGCCCCAGTGGTGCCCTAACTGGTGTTTAGGAACCCAGAATTGGAGAGGTGTTGATGTCTTCTGCCTTGGTTCTGTTTGCACCTCCTCTTCCATACCTTCTGGGGCGTAGTTCACCCCTTCCTCCCCTTTCTGCCCTGGAATATCAAGAGGGATTTCTGGTCAGAGCAGGGTTTCTTGGGATGTGGCAGGGTTTCCTTCCAGCCAGGCCCCCCTATCTTTGAAGTCTCTCCACTAGACTCCACTTGTCCACGCCCACTGCATGGGGTAGAAATTAGCATTGCTACGGGGCCCTCTTCTGCGATTTCCAGGGCTTCAGGGACGTTAGGCGTCAGAGTTAGACCCTCGGGTCCCACTTTGATCCTTTGTGGGCTGTGGTGTCTTTTGCTGGGGGGGTGGATGGAAGTTTTATTATCTCCCACTCCCTTTATGCTTTCTATATGGGTGCGGCTCACCTCAACGTTCGTTTCCGAGTGCCTTTGGGTTCTTCAGTTTCATCTTTTCCTGGGATTTCCTCGGGAGTGGTCGAGCCGGCCTAGTCTATTTAGTGGGTGTCCCAGTTGTTCTCAGACCCAAGACAGGACTCTGCGGACCACTGGTACATCTTTCGTCTTTGGATTTCGGAACGACTTCATCCCCTGCTCGACCTTCAGCATGACCACTTTGGTTCAAGTTCACCTGCTACTACAGGCTGTAGCTTGGATGGTGTACTTGGACCTCAAGGATGCAGATTAGCATGTCCCCATTCCTTCGGGGTTCAGGGACTGTCTAGGGGGTTTGTTACGGGGCTGGCATTGGTCCCTAGTCGGCCCAAGTGTACGCTGGTCAGGGATCTGGTCTTTTCTAGCTCTTCAGGTTTGGGTTCCTGGTGAACTGGTGGAAGTCCCAGTTGGTGCCATCCCAGGTTCGGACTTGGCTGGGCCTCGTTTGGTACTCTTAGTTTGGATCTTCAGCAATTGAGTGGGAACCTGAACAATGACTGTATTGTCTTTTCCCTTGGTAGGATTTAACACCAGGCGATGTACCAATTTCTCTGGTTCTCTCCCTTCCACTACACTTGGGATCTGCAGGTCCGGGCCCCAACTGTTCTTCATTAGCTCTCTCTTTGCCAGTTTACCCTGCAGGTTTTGAAGCTTCTGTCTTTGTTAGGGCTTCATGACCAGTATTCATCAAGGTGCCTGGGGTTAGTGGTAGAGTCTTTTCCCTCAGGCATGCAGTACGATTTACAGATCTGCGACTGTGTGGCATGCCCTGAAGGAGGATTCAGCTTCCTCCAGGCTTAGTGCTCTGGCTTCACTCTGCTCCCAAGTAGTTCATTGTATAAACCAAGGAGTCGCTTTTGTCTATCACCCTGTGGAGCTGGATGATTTGATTGGCTCGACTTCTAGCATCTCGGGGTTTGGTTCTGCACAAGTTCATGTGTGGGGTGTATCCTCAGATGCGTTGCCTCATTTTTAGCTCATCTCCACAGAGTGGACCATTGACAAATTCATTGACAAGGTGGTCTATATGGCTCCACATAGGAGCCATCTCTCATCCTACATGACCCAATTTGCAAGATTTGCAATGGAGGCTTCTCCACTGGACTGGACTAGTTGAGGGGCATTTACCATTTTCCCCCTGGTTCATTTGTTGTCCAGTTTGTTGTTTTATTCAGGGAGTGTGGTCCTTCTGGCCGGTAGGTAGCCGGCCCAGCCTTGGTTTTTGGTGCTCCTAGCACGGTGTTCCAACCCGGCCATTTTCTTGGGGCTCTCCTCTTCCAGCAAATTGGCCTGACGGTCTACTTTGATGGTTCAAACTTCTCCTTTGCTCTACGTGAATGGAGTGTTTGATGCATATCTACTGCCATTTGCATGGTGAGCAGGTGGCTGGTTTGTTAGTGTCTTACCTGCATCTTTCTTCTAAGTGGTAGTATGAGGCTACTTGGCGCTCATTCTGCCACTATTTCTCTCTTCACTGTCTGTTTTCGGTCTGAATTAGGACTGTCCTCTCCTTTTTTTGTTGTAGTTTCTTGATCAATATCTCATGCTGCCTCTTATCGTTCAGCTTTGGTGGAGCCGCTGTTGCTTGCTTTGAATGTCAACACCTCCACAGCTCCATTTTGCAAATTGTCTCATGTGCTTTTCTATCTCTGGCCTGCTCATGCTCCTCCTGAGCTGTCCTGGTCTCTTGAATGTGTGTTGGTATTTCTTTCTTTGCTTGTGCCTTCATATCACTTCCTTGTAATCACTGATAGGTAAGCATTTGTGCCATGTACAGGGTATGATGACATTATATACTGTAATATCGATTGTTGTCAATAAATCTTCTTGGCATATTTCTAAACAAAGTCATTCCCTTATTTTTCTAGCAAATTGGAAACATGCATTTAAGTTTTGTTCATATAAATTAAAGCATTGATGTCATGTATAATACTGACTGCTCAGCTAAGTGCTCCAGAACCATTGACATAACTCTTACATATTAATAATTTTGCACATATAAATATGATTCACTTCCTAGGTTAAAGGAGCTGCAACAATGGTTCTTGAAAGTGGGAAGCATCCAGGTCAGCTGAAGGATGAAGTGTGCTCACCAGGAGGCACCACTATTACAGCCATGCATACTTTAGAGGGGAATGGCTTTAGGTGAGACTTGAATGTTTTCACATGCTTAACACTTAAATAATTTAAAATTGCATTATATGTTAAAGGTCAAGTATAAAGCAATAAGAGGGTAACCAAAAAAAAAGGTATTAAAAGGCATAATTTAAAATAGAATATAATTTACACGAGTGAGTAGTCCTAAGTTAGTTTTGGGCAGGTAGCGATAATATTCGAAGAATGTGAGAATGAGGTGTTAAGAGTAAAACAAAGGAATACATTTATATACTGTACTTACTGTAGTAAAGACATATTATAATAAAGATGTTATCCTTCTGCCGTGGCATTTACTTGCCGGTTGCTTTCCGAGTGCAAGTTTTTCTGGGCTGACACTCGGTACTGTAGTTTCCCGGTACATTAGCTCTGTTACCACCTGGCATATACCTGTTGATTCTAAGGATCAGCGTCTCTGTAGCTCGGTCTCTGACCAGGCCTACTGGTATAACAAAGCCCACCATTGTATCCCGGGCAACAAGCACTGCTGCTACCCTTTACACGGTACTAATTGCATTGATATAACTCCAAACAACTGAAAGTGTCTGCCCTTGCAGCAGAAAATCCTCATCCAGTTATCAGGGAAAGGGGGGGGAATTGACCAAGGTGTTGACCATATCTTGACCATTCTTACAGCCCAGATGAAAGGAAATGTTACTCATAAAACAAATAATGCTGCCACCACTCCTTCTAGAACTTTGATAAGGCTAATTGATTCAGGAGACGACCAGTCAACTAATACAGAGTGCTTGGGAAATTTTATCTTTATACTTAGTGGATGAATGGAATTACTTTTAAATTAACTCATGACTTACAAAGCGGATATACTGTATTTAATCATAAAAATGCTCAAGATCACTGGTAAAGTCCAAATCAATTAAAGAACTATGACTGAAATAATTAGGGGAAAATATATAAAATACACAGGAGAATAACTTACAGTAACTTTATTTAATACAAAATTAATTAACCCTATCCTAGTAACATCCCATTCTTAAGAGGCATGGGTAATGGACTACAAATTGTACAAGGAACTCAAACAATAGCTTCATCACTGCTTTCTCAGCCGGTGTTCTGGCTCCGTGGTAGATCACCCCACTCTCTCAAGCACCCCCAAGGTCACACTGGCACACATGTCTCGTATCCTTCAAGATAGTCAAAGTTCCACCCACTCAGGTTCTCCTGCTCAAGAAAACTCCTCCTCTCACTAGGACTATAATAAATTTGAACTAGTCATTGGCCCTGGCACTCTCAGCCAATGAGGAAGTCTTAATACTTTTGTTGCCCTGGCAGGCAACCCGCCACACACTTCAATGTAGGCCGAGCAATGCGCGCTAACTCACGACCACCCACAAATGTTTATAATCATTTTAGCTTTCTAACCTCAATTTTTGTGCTGTTGTTCAATTTGGTATCAAATTGTTCACAATAGAATGTTCTAAAGGAATATGTGCATATAAGAACATATGTGCCTCACTTCTCTGTACTTTAGACCTGCCGTGCACCACAAGGTAGGTCGAGAGCTCATAACTCTAATGTTTATTTTCTCTTCAGCTTTCTCACCTCAATTTTTGTGCTTCGTCGTTCAATTTGGTATGAAGTGGTTCACAATAGAATGCTGTAAAGGGATATTTGCATATAAGAACATATGTCTCACTTTTTTATACTTTCAACAAAAACTCAATAACTTTTCCCTCGTTTGTTTCTTTCAATGCTTTCATCATGGATTGGCTCTGTTCTTGATCAGTATCTATCTGGAAGTCAATTTGCAGTGTTTATAAAGCTGGTAACAACAAATACCCGAGAGAAAATAACCGGACTGGGGAAACTTTTTGACTCGAGGGGAGGCCGCAGCTGTCACTAGCAAGGTCATGCGAGCTGTGAGCCTCCAGCTTGGGTGGGTGCTCACACGTAGACAGGATGCCATGTGGGGTATACAGAGAATGGGCAGAAGTTCGCACACATTTTAAAACATGTCTCATAGTATTCGGACAATAAATGGAATTTCTACATTATTGATGCTATTTATTTCTGTGGAGAGCCCCTACGGCTCTCTGGAGCTCACCGGGCTAATATGAATGTACAGTACTGTAGAAGCTCGATAATCCGGAGCTGCTGATTCCAGAAAACGCCCTAATCCAGCAAAAATCATGGCCGGATAAAGTTACTGTATATCCCTATCCGGACTAAAGTTATGTCCATAAAAGCCGGACTACCGGATATTTGGCCTGATCAGCGTATACTGATGGAGTTGGAAGCCTAAAAATCTCTAAAAAATCAAGGGTTGACCTGCCGCTGAATATAAAATGTGAACCTTTACCATTAAGAGATAAACAAGTGAAACGCCCTGCCTAACACTCGTTGTACACCACCACCAGGAAAGGAGGGAGTCAGGAGGTAGCACATATGAAGTGTGTGTGAACCAGATATGACTGGCATTAACCCTTCCAAGGGAGGGTTACAATAACCTGTTGTTTCCTTTCGTCTGTTTTAAATATATGTAGTGCACAATTAGATGGTTTGCTTGACTCCCACAATTCAGAACACAGGTGTGTGCAATTTGAACTTTGACTGGTATTTGATTAAGTGCCATTTCGCTTTAAAGTGTCCTCAATTATAAAGTGCTGTAATTAACACTTATACTGACAAGAATGTAAGTAGTGCTATTTAGTCATTATAGCATCCACTCTTTCCAAAAGTTCATTCAGGGCAAGGCAAGAAAGTGTGGCATACCATCCTTGTAGAGGTTACTTTTGTAATGTTGACTTACCAAGTTTGTCAAAACAAGGCAACTCTCTCTAAACCTCTTATAGTTGAAAGCACAAATGTTTGCAGGTTTTATCTAGTTACTCGTGTCTAGGTGCTTTCCCCATACACTGGTAAACAAGAAAGCACTCATGAATGCAGTCAGCAGCACAAGTGTTAATATTCAATCCTCACAATTCTTTAAATTTTCTAAAGAATATTTTTTTAACAGAAAAATTATAGGTACAGTATTTGCATTCCTAAAAATATAACTTAAAATTTCCATGTATTCTTTCTTTGCAGAAATGCCCTTGTATCAGCAGTGGAAGCCTCATCGTTGCGCTCCAAAGAGTTAGGTAGTAAGAAATAAATATTAGTGCCTCGAGTTTATTGATGAATAATTCCAGTATAGCAAAGGATAAGATAAATTAAATGGCATCCATATATTCACCATTCCTCCCATACACAGCACCATTATATTTAATGTGTGTACACAGCAGCACAGCTAAAAGCACAGCATGCATACATGGCAGTAGCAGCACAGCTGAGCACACATACACAGCTGAGCATAGCATGTATATGAAGCATTAGAATCAGCACAGCATGCATATACAGCAGCAGCACAACTGAGCACAGCATGTATACAGAGCAGCACCACAACAACTAAGCACAGTACACATACACAACAGCACAACTGAGACAGCATGTATACAGAGTAGCAACCCAACAGCTAGGCACAATACACATACACAGCAGCACCCCAACAGCTGGGCACAGTACACAGCAAAACTGAGCACAGCATGTATACAGAGCAGCACCCCAACATTTGAGCACAGTACACATCAGAAGCACAGCATGTATACATTTGAGCACCCCAACAGTACACATACATAGAAGCAGTAGATCATCCACTGCCTCTCAGACAAGGCGCGGTGTGTGGTGCTCCTCGCGAGTTGTCGCTTATAAACAATGGTACCGTATTATTATTGCTTTTGCTACCAACATTTTGTTGAGCACTGATTATCATCTACACTTACTGAATGTACCAGTCCTCCTCTTGGGCTGCTGCTTACACTTCTCTCACATTCACTCACCAGTTCTTCAAATTATCTTGGCCCACAACACCAGCTTAGTTTATATACATTTACACCATGTCTTCTCAATGTACCATTCCTTAGTCTGTCTCCTGCCCCATCAAAGTCAGAGAGAAGGTAAGTGTGAGAAATGCCAAATATAGGTATAATTCATTTGTTAAATGTTTATATATAATCTCACTGCTCTCATATAATGAGATTTAATGTTTAATTACAGTTGCAATTCAAAATTGTATACAATGATACATGTTTAGTTTTGTGAACCTTGTATGCTTCTTAATGAAAGACCATTATCCAAATGATTTACAGTATACAGTAGTACTGTATTTGGCTAGTAACAATGTCACTCCTACTAGGATGAAGAGGCACGAATTGTCAGATCATTCCACTTGCATCTTAATTATATCAAATGTGAAATTAAATATTAAGATCAAGGCCAATAATGGGATTGTAAAGCCATGATCATATAAGCACTTGGTAGGTAATTTAAAAAAAAAAAAGTAAGCATATGAAACTTTACCTGTAAATTGGTACAAACAGTTTAAAAGGTATGCCCATAGTTTGAATTCCTGTTAAAAATCCACAATTTTTTTTATGTATTTATAATGTAATTATTTTTACGTTATAATAAAAAGCATTACCTAATAAAAACATGTACAGTATTTTAGTTTTTTATGATGCCAAGTACAAAAAAAGAATGCAGATGTGGTACACACACACTTTGCAAAGGCATTTGATAAATGTGACCATGGAGTGATAGCCCACAAAACGAAGTCAATAGGAATAACAGGTAAAGTAGGATGATGGATATTAAATTTTGTCAAACAATGCAAATAGTAACAGTTTATTTTATTTCATTAAGTCCAAGCAGTGAAAAGCTCTGTACCTCAGTGTAGTCATTGCACTCAAAATAAGCCCCCGACTTTGTACGTACAGTATACGGATCATCGTTTCTGCCTTTGCCGCAGTATTAGGTTCCTTTCTGGGAGAAGCTCTTTGTGGCTTCCTGAAGCAATCTTGCCAAGATGGTCCAAACTACTGGATTGCATCAGCCATGGAGTTCAGTTCAACCTTAGGGGCCCGTCTCCAGCATATGACCCACTCACAAAGATGCATGAAGCAGGTGATAATTCACCGCCTCATCAGGGAAAGCACCCAGAAAGTTGGTGAATGAATACAAACCACAGCTGGGTTCATATGAGACCAAACCTTCTTTAACTAACCAACCTCCTCTTTCCAGAGGATGTTGTTGGTGATGTAGCAGCAGTCTCTCTCTCTTGCTGCTACATCACATTGACCTATTTTGGACTTCCTTTATACTCATGCTTTCTGATCTTGTTCTTGGTGGATGGGTAGGGTTAGGATATTGCCTGCTGTCTGTGAAGGTAGGCCACTTGGTGGACTTGCATTATTCCAGGTACAGTATATATATTCCAGGTCATACATGTATGCACCTTCCATGGCTGGTTCATGCCAGCCCTTTTGCATTTTGACCCTTTGACAGGGTGGTTGTGTGGCTGCTCGCTCAGTTTGCCAGCTCCTAGTCTCATGATTTATCAGCTTATCGGGTCATTTCTTGTGACCTGCAGTGGAGTCTGTCAATCTCTTCCCCTTTTCAGGGGGTCTGGGCTTTTGGGGTGGCAGCCCTCTTGCTCCTGCCTAAATCAGGTCATTTCAGAATGTTTCTGTTGGTTACGGTGCAGTCAAAACGATCACGTCTCCTCAGTGAGTGTCCCGTCTCTTCCCAGTTCTGAAGGAGGACTCAGTGGAGCTCTGATTTATCTTTGGTATCTCGGCCTTGAACAACAACATCCCTTTCAGTACATTCCAGATGACCACTTTGGCCCAGGTTCACCTCATATTAGAAGTGGGTTCTTAGATGATATTCCTGGACCTTCGGGACATGTACTGGCACATTGCTATTCATACGGGGTTCATGAATCGGTTAGGGATTATAGTTGGGCATCAAGCTTACTACTTTCAGATTCTTCCCACTTGAATCTGGCTGCCCACATTTTCACCAGGTTGATTCGGGTCATGGTAACTAGTCTCTGGTTGTTGGAGTTCATGAAATGGTCTACTTCAGTGACTGGCTGGTGTGGGCCCCCCAGTCAATCAGTGTGTCTGCTAACAAGGGATCTGTTTCTTTTGCCAGCTTTCCAGGTTTCAAGTTTCGGGTTTCTGGTGAACTGGTGCAAGTGCCATTTGGTTCCATCCCAGGCTCAGATTTGGCTAGGCTTCATGTGGGATTCTCAGTCGGCATTACTTTCCCCTTCCTCTGGTAGCTTTACTTCAACTGCAATGCCGTTGCATTGGGGCAGTGCTGGGTGACTAGGCAGTTTCTCATGAGGTTGTGCAGAAGCCTGAACTTTGCCCGAGTTGTTTTCCCACTGGGCAGGGTGTGGCTTCAGGGGCTGTTCTGGGTTTTTTGGTTCCGCCCCCTTTTGTCTACTGCAACAACTGGGTTGCAGTAGAGACGAGAATTTGCACTTTTGTCGGCTGCTGTGTCGCTAGCTTCCTCTTCAGACTTTCTGGGATTCAGTATCCTGGTGCCTGCCTCTCCCCCACCCACCTCACTTGAAGTCTTTACAGGCACCTTGTTTCTGGGTTGGAACTTTGTGACCAACGCTCACCAGGCCATTCAGGGTTATATTGATCGTCTCATTTCTGTTAGGCGAGCAGTATGGTGCAGGGGTCTGTGGCTGTGTGGCATGCCTGAGTCTTCAGGGCATACCACACTCCTTTGGAGATTCAGACTCCTCCAGGCTCTGTGCTCCGACTCCATTCAGACTGAACCAAGTGGTTCATCATTTGAGCCAGATGGGGGCTTTCTTAGGGATTGGTTCTCCATGTGGTTCAGGGAATATCCAGAGCCCTCATGGATAAACTATCCTAATTCCTTTTCCTCTCCATGGAGTGAACCATTGATGTCATCTATTTCCTGTGGCTTTGCGAGGTGTTCAGGCATCTCTGACATAAATCTCTGTGTTGGCTTGGAATTGGAACCTTCCTCTTTATGCAGTTGCATTACCAAAGCAGGAGGCCCTTGCGATGACTGCCTTTTGGCTGAACTGGCTTCTGTGGGATTTCTGTACCTCTTTCTCCAGGTCCAGCTGAAGCTCCAGGTCCTGGCCAGGTTGGAGTGCTACCTAGGAAAGGTGGTCCTTCTGGCTTCTTGGTGGCTCATCCTTGGTTTCAGGTGCTTCTTGCTTAATATCCAAACCCGGGCATTATGCCAACCTCTTTTAGAAGACTGCCCCAGTGACGTACATAACTCATCAAAATTATGCAGCACCCTGGAGTGTACCTGGATAGGGTTCTGGGAGTTCTACTCCACAAGTCAAGCCCTGGGCAAGGCTTGACCTGTGAGAGCTTGGTCCAACAGGCTTGGAGCGGCCTGCAGGCCCACATATCCACCACAGCCCGGTTGGTCCAGCACTTCTTGAAGAAAACTATCTAATTTTCTCTTGATGTCTACATTTGTTCCTGCAATATTTCTTATACTCGCTGGGAGTATGTTGAACAACCGTGGACCTCTGATCTTTATACAGTGTTCTCTGGTTGTGCCTGCTTCGGCCCTTTCCCCTCCCCCACAACAAACAATATTGTACATAAGGATATTTAAAGTAAATAGCATTATAATTACCTCTTTATACTTCGATGGGTGGCCTTTTCTTCACGGCTTGGTGACATCAGGGTAGGTGTTCCAGTGAGGTGTTTGCCCCAGGACTGACAGATGGCCTCCTTGAGCTTGGTTATGGAGCTGATGTCTTTACTCTCCAGATATGTCTTAACCATGTGCCAGAGGTTCTCAATTGGGTTGAGATCCAGGCTGTTACCTGGCCAATCCTTTATGAAGGACTGCAGTCATCAAGCCATTTAGTGAAAGAAAATGCGCTAGCCCTGTTGGAAGACGCTTGCATGTGGATAGTATAACCCATCTCGTGAATGAGGCAAGATACAGTAAACACAGACTGCACCAAACACTTTGGGGATATTTTCTTTCACTACCCTTCCTGTCATGCAAGGTACCCTCCAATAAACATGTTAGAATGTTCACAGACCTTGAAGAGGTCTTCCTAGGATGCTCAGACCAAGGATTTTGTGATGCGTCTCACCACTGTTTTCCTCCCGGAACCACACAAAATACTTTCTTAATATTGACTCAACCACACTGACCAACAGACTTATTTCCTTAGTTTGGTGTCCTGCACCAAACTAAGGAAAATAACCCCTGTGCTGTGCATCTCATCAGGTGACATGGTGGCTAATTATGCTCAGACTGCATCCTGTCAGGTGAAGTATTAGAGTACTATACATTGTAAGATTTTAAAGCTTCAGTGGGTACAAGGGGGCTCGTCTCGGCTTTTGAGGCTTCCAGTAAATAGGTGCCATTTTGAAAAAAAAAAAAAAATTGTGGACATTGACTGTTCCAGGGCGTGAAGGTCTCAGTACTGAGTGAAGAACATAGGCTTGACCAGGCAGCATGAGTTAGCAGCACTGCTGTTCAGCTTGTGTCAAAAGCATCACTTAAAAATGATGAAATATATAAGTACAGTAACTGCTATTATTTTGTGATTACTGTATCATAGAAGATCCTGACCAATAAAGATTATGTACAATGTTCAGATATCATTGAACACAATGCTCTATGATATTCAGAGCTGACACAAATTGGCCACTGCCATTGTTTGGTGCACCTACGTATTGCCAGACGACCTCATGCTCCTTTAAAAAAATTAACTTGTGTAAAAATTATTCATATTCAGAATTTAGTGACCAGGATGCTGATAATAATAGCAACATTGTGCCTAGAGTTAGTGCTAGGCATGTTATACTGAAGTGTTATGTCGAGTCAATGTTGTCAGCTGACTGGCATGCTGACACTGCTGGTGTAGGCACATCAGACAAGGTTAGTGGTTCATTATGGTGCACAAAAATGTAGATAGTTATACAGTATATATGCAGTGCAATAACGGCAAAAACCCTTTTCTGAGGGAAGTCCCATCGGCTTCCTGATGCTATCAAACTGACATGTGCCAATTTGTTTGGTGCCATCAGTGCTTGGAGTTCGAGTGCCTACCGGGGGCCATGAGCCAGAACCTGGCCCCCCTCAGAGAGGAGCTGGGAGCAATGGCCATATGAGCACTACATTTAGTTTTTTTTTTCTGCCATCGACCGGGGAAGGCACCCATAAGAGTAGGTGAACCATTACAAACCTCTTAACGGGTTAAAATTGCATCCTATGTCCAGAGGCCTAGAACTCTCTCCAATAGAAAACAGTGAAACAAGCAATATGACATCCAACTAGTGCGCCTGCTCGTTACATACTCATCCTCCCCCAAGAGAGGGGAAGGTGGACCCCGCTCAGGTGAGCAGGCCGCACCACCTCCAGTTCGTCGGCTGATGTGGCAGGTGTCAGAAGTCCTATCTGGCCTCAAGCTTTTGTCTGGCTTTGCATTTGTGGCTTTGTTGGCTGTGTGTGTGGTGGCCAGGTATTCCTTTAAGTCTACTGGGCTGCATCCCTGGAAACACAAACCGAAACTGTCTATTTTCCGCTTGTTACAACTTGGCTTAACGTGTTTATGACGTATTAGAACGTTGTTACAACATGCTATATTGGTTGTTATAACTGGTTAGGTGTTAAAACTTGTTTGAACGTTGTACCAACGTCGTAGTTTCGGTGTGTGTTTGGCGGGATGTGCCTAGGGTTTCCTTCCCTGGGTGCCCGGTAAGTACTTGCCTTGCGATTCAGGGTTACCTTTCCTGGGTCGTTGGGGTCTCACTCCCATCAGAGGCCTTCATAGCTTGGTGTAGTTCTCGCCCTTATGGTTCGCCGGTGGTTTTGGGCTTCACATCTTGCCCTGGGTAGGGAGGTGAACCATTAGAGTGGGGAGGTGCACCTTGCATCAGTAGCGGCCGAGGTTTCTCTTTGGGGACTGGTTAGTCTGTGTGTATTGCATAGGGGTGCATTTTGCTTGTTTTAAGCACATCCTTAATGGGGGAGGTCTGCCTAGCTTCCCATTAGGTTAGCCTAGGTTGTGTTTGGTAGTCCTCCTCTGTTGCCTTGAGGTTTCACAGCGATGCCGGTTGTCAGTTTGCCTGCAGCAGACAGGGCTTACTGGCTTAGTAAGAGCACTGGAAACCCCAAGTGCCTGGGCTTCCTGTAGGTCTTACGTACTCAACAGGCCTTTGAAATCCCCCATAGAACTCGGGAGTACTATGGCTGTGTCTTCCGAGCCCTGTCTTGCCTTGTAGGATGCTGAGGGGTGTTCGTTGCCTTTGCCTCATGATGACGATCATCCATCCTGCCAGTTGGGTCGGAGACACCTATGACACTCAGTCTTGCAGGATGTGTTCCCCGCTTGTTATTCAATTTCCCCATTCCCCATCTGAAGATGTTAGGGGTCAGGTGGCAGCTTGGTTGTATGCTAGGTATTCTGTGTTGCAATGGGCCAGGTTGGTTGCCCAGTTGAAAGTCTCGGAATCGCCCTGTTTGGATTTTAGGGACCAGGATTTAGGGACGTTAGTTACTTCAACCTTGGTTCTGTCTGCGCCCTTGCTCTTTGGGTGTTGTACGCTCTGCTCCCGGCTCCTAAATGTCTACGGGTTTAGCTGGTAATGAGGCTTGGGTGGTTTAGGGGGTTGCCCTTTCCAACTCGAGGACGGAGGTCGAGGCTGATTTCCTCGCTGAAGCTGTCGGCCCAGCAGGCTTCTCTCTTTGAGGTTTTTTCCTTGGACTCGGCCTTTTCTTGAAGGGTAGTGGGTTTGGATGTAGGTTCTGCTCCAGGGCCTGTATTGGGGGGTTCATGGGGCTCGGTGAGGGGGGGGGGGGAGTCTTGGAGTGATTGAACTCCTTTTGATCCTGCCATCCTGTTTCTGATTTGTTTGTGCTCCAGGGGGGTTTGTGTGCTGGCTCTTCCCAGGGTGGTTGTGCCAGGGCTCAGTTTTGGTAGGTCGAGGTGGGCCTTTGGTGCCAGGTTTGGTGCCGGTGTGTCCTCCGGAGCCCTCTTTGTCTGGTCGGCGTGGTGGTCACTCTGCACAGAAGTCGGCTTCTCAGAGGTCGGGACAATGGAGAAAAAACTGGCTCTGTTAGCCCAAATTTGGTCCCACTATTCATGGGCTTTTCACTTCGGCTCAACTTTGGTGGCATTGGGCAGCTGTTCCTCCAGTCGGGGGTTCGGGGCTGGCGAGGCAGGCTTCTTCCCCGTTTCTCTGTCGGGTCATCATTGAGTGGGTTCGCCTAGACATGGTCGAAACGACTTCATCCCTCATGTGGGTTTCCCGCTTGTTTCCGGTTCCAAGATGGGACTTGGATCTCCGGTTCATTCTGGACTTGTCCCGTCTAAACTGTTGGATTCCTTGCCCCTCCTTTCGGATGACTACTTTGTCCCAGGTCGAGCTTTTTCTCGAGCCGGGCACTTGGATGATCTCCCTGGACCTCCAGGACACATATTGGCACGTTCCTATTCATCCGGGGTACAGGAATTGGCTAGGTTTCGTGGTCGAACGTCAGGCATACCACTCCTTTCATTGCCTTCCATTCGGCTTGAATCTGGCACTTTGCGTGTTCACATGTTTAACCTGGGTTCATACGTGGTAGTGGTCAGTCTTCGTCTGCTAGGGGGCTTGGATTCTGACCTACCTCTACGACTGGTTGGTTTGGGCTCCCAGCCGGTCTGCACGTCTGCTCACCAGGGACATGGGTTCTTTCCCAGCTTGTCGGGTTCAGGTTCCTGATGAGTTGGAAGGGGAACCGGGTCACTCGGTTGTTGCTCGAGCAGCTGTGCAGGAGCCTGAACTTTGCCTTGCTGATTTCCTGCTGGGCAGGGTCTGGCTTCGGAGGCAGTTCTGGTATCTTCAGGGCACCCATTTTGCAATCGCTGGGTTCGACCTCTGGGGTCCTTGCGCCAGTTGCTGCGTCTCCGACTTCCTCTTTGGGTTTTTCGGGGTTCGGTGCTTTGGCGCCTTCCCTTTCTCTTGCTTGATGTGTTGACGGATGCCTTGTCTCTCAGGTATCACAGATGACAACGAAGAAATGAGCAAAATACCAAGGAATCAGCTGTTTTCAGCGTTGCCACTAAACATACTGAAGATTGATAACCCAAATGAATTTTTCCATGGATGAGATACCAGCATCAAATCATATATCAGATGTCACCCTATTGCCACTGGATTTTGAAGAAGTCATAGACACTGCACCAGGCCCTGATTTTTGAAACTCTATATTCATCAAGAACTGTAAAAACCCACTATCGCAGGCCTTTCACATTCTTTGGAAAGAGCCAAGATACTGGCATTATCTCTGACACACTAAAAACAGCAGAGCTAGCACCACTCCATAAAGGAGGAAATAACGCAGAAGCAAAAAATTAGACCGATAGCACCACACATTCATAAAAATCCTTGAGTGTGCGCCAAGAAGTAAGATCACAAAAAACATGGAATCAGAGCATCTCCATAACCCTAGACAACATGGTTTCCGAACAGGGCACTCTTGCCTGACACAGTTGCTGGACCATTATAACATGGTATTAGATGCCATGGAAAACAAACAGAACGCTGATGTAATTTTCACAGATTTCGCAAAAGCCTTCGACAAATGTGACCATGGTGTTATTGTACAGGAAATGAGTTCGACAGGCATTACCGGAGAAATAGGCGAATGGATCTACAATTTCCTAACAATACCAAAATGTGTAATGGTTAACAAAATAAAATCTGGACCATCAACTGTGAGGAGCTTAGTTCCCCAGGGTACTGTGCTTGCTCCAGTACTTTTTCTCATCCTCATATCGGACATAGACCAGGACACAAACTAAAATGCTGTATCCTCCTTTGCAGATGACACTAGGATCTTTATGAGAGTAGACAACATAGAGGACACAGCAAACTTCCAATCAGATATAAATCAGAAGTTTTTCAACAGGCTACAGAAAATAATATGGTATTTAATGATAAGTTCTAACTCATGTGCTGCAGAAAAAAGGAATATATAAAAACAGAAGCCATGTACAGAACGCAGTCAAATCATACCATAGAGCGAAAAAGCAATGTAAAAGATTTGAGTGTACTCATGTCGGAAGACCTTATCTTTAAAGAAAACAATAAAGTACTTATTACAACTACAAGAAAAATGACAGGTTGGATAACAAGAACCTTTCAAACTTGAGATGCTATACCAATGATGATACTTTTCAAGATGTGGGCTATTCATGCCCATGCCACCTCTTGGGGTGGCTTAAATCTTCATTAATCAATCAATCAATCTTTTCAAGACACTAATGCTCTCTAGAGTAGAATACTGTTGCACAATGACAGCCCCATTCAAAGCTGGAGAAATTGCTGACCTGGAGAGTGTGTAGAGATCCTTTACTGCTAGAGTCCACTCAGTAAAACATCTAAACTATTTGGACCGACTGAAATACCCAAATCTGAATTCCCTTGAGTGCAGGCGGGAGAGATACTTGATAAACACCCCCAAAGGATACTCGATCAACCAACTTGGCTGTGATTCATACGTCAGGCTGCGAGCAGCCGCGTCCAACAGCCTGGTTGACCAGTCCAGCAACGAGGAGGCCTGGTCAAGGACCGGCCACGGGGACGTTGAGCCCTGAGATCATCGCAAAGTAACTGCAAGATCAGGTAAGGCTACATTATCTCCCCAGCTTGGTGCCTTTTTTTGATAATTACGTTTCATGTCATTTCCTGCAGCTTCTTGTGGAGTGGGTCTGTTCCTTCCCCCTTCTAGGGATATGTTTCTTTCCTGGCAGGCCTCAGTTTCTCACTCCTGTTGTCATCTCAGAATGCATGGCATTCTGCATTATTTTTCCGCTGCATCATATCTGTTCTCTTCCCAGTCTCTTCTCTGATCTTTCTGGGCCTCAGGTTCCTGCGTGGCCTTCACGACTGAAATGGTTCTTCCTTGCCCCTCGTTCCAGACGACTTCTCTGTCCTGGATTAATTTTTTTCTTGAGGCGGTCACTTGGATGATGACTGCCATCCAACAAGTGCCCTGGACCTGCAGAGCACTTCTCACGTTCTACTTCCCAAGGGATTCTGGATTTGGCTTGGAGGAGTAAGTTTGCCGCTTATGTACAGGTAATAAGTTCGTCATGAGACAGGTGTAAAGAGGATGGACACTTTAGGTAATTTGTAACGATTTTTCATAATATAAACCATAAAAGTTAAGATATGTATATATATATATATATAAAAAAACATATACAGTACAGTACTTTATTCTGTGAAACTTACATATTTATTAATCAAGATTCCTTAACAAAAAGAATCCCCCTGCAATTTAGCACAGCTTCCTGTGCTTCAGTTGACCTTCTTGAAGATGCAGGCACGATACAGACCTGAGGGAATAAAAATATGATCTCAATATCTATTTTAAAATTTTAATAAATGTACATTAATTTTTTTTAAATAAAATTGGACACAAAACTGGCAAACCCCGTCAGTGTTATCAGTAAACTACCATCATCTAACTACCCTCTTCTGCATTTTACTAAGAGTTTAATTCTCAAACACCACAAATCTTGCACTGCTCACAAAGGTTTCTCTGCTGGCCAGAGTTTGACATGCTACACAACCTGTTCTCTCGAATAACACATCCTATTTTTATATAAAAATTCCCAACGTCAAAACATGTGAACACAGTGACTTGCTAAACTGACGGAGTTATAAATTTCTATTCGTGGATCCATCAGTTAGGTCAGGGCAATTCAGAACATCATTTTTATGGCGTGACAACTTTAGAGGCCAGGCTGCTTCAAGATGACAAACAAGTACTTCCAAAATTGATTTAACCAGCCAGCTCCTCATCCCTCCCCCCACACAACTTATTTCCAGATTGAATGACCATGCCATGCCTTGTGTGGTACATTTCTTCTCAGTTGTTCTAATCCAAACTTTTATGACAAAACATCCTCATGCCCTCTTTTGGATGTGAGCAGTCTCTATTTAAACTGTACATGTAAAAAAAAAGAACCTGACAATGTAGACATTTTAATAAAATATCTTATTTTCAAGATTCTAGACATTGAGTTTTTCACCCAACTATTTTTATTAAAACTTTTCATATTTCTAATCCATATTTTTATTAATGCAAATATATATGGTATCTGCTTCATTCAGAGGATAACCAAGCATTGAATGTAATGAAACGCCTCTCTCTGAAAGAGCCCCAGTGGCACTCTTGAAGCTATTTCACCAAGATTCTAATGGGTCACACCAGTTGCAGGGGTTCTGATTGGCCTACTGGGGCCCCTGACCCCTTCACAGAGGTGCAGGGAGTGAGTGACAATCAACCACTCCAATGGAAAAGCATCCAGAGGTTAGCAAGGCATTACATACAACTGTAACTTTCACAGAAAATTAAGCATTTAAACTGCCAAACAACTCTTCAGATGATTCAAACAAAGCAATTAGTCTACCCAAACTAGTTAAACCCTATAAAATTAGTACATAACTGCCAGCAGGCAGCCTCAGATCCTGCCCACAGCCAACCATCCTGACTATAAGGAAGAGCCATTTCATGATATTCAATGCTGTGTTTCTTGGGAAGCCCCTTGGTGGTTGCCTTAAGATAGATAACCACAGAGAAAGAAAACACGGGTCTTACCTGGGAGGAGAGGCAACAGGTACTAAGACAAAGAAGAAACCCCCCTGACTGAGAATCATGGCTCATAGCAACACAACACTGACTGGGACCAGGAACATTATCCAAATACTAGGTCACAAGCACCCTGTTAGGCTGCCAAAACATCTGAGCCCAAATATCAGCCCAGAACATGCTGGAGAATACTTCTGCCAATACAACATACTTGCTTATCGTGGGCCTGAGGGTAGACCACAGGCTGGCTAGATGACATCGTGTTGTGTTGAGTAACTTGATACATCACATAATTCACATAAGACATGATAATGTTTCAGTTGACTGGTTTACCTGGTATACTCCATTACAACCAGTATAAAGAAAGGTAGTAGTAGCAAAAAAGGATATGAACATAATATTCATTGGTGTTGGGCTCTGGATAATGACATACAGCCTAATTGACACTGTATGGGGTGAGAGAATAGACTGAAGCAAAGGCGTAAGCTGTCAACGTGCACTCACAGTTGATAATTGTTATATGATGATAACCACATAGCGCCCATAAATCAACATATGACGACAACCGCTCCCTAAGGGTTAAGAGAGGTGGGGGTCAAGGAAATGCTCACACTACAACTAGAAACAACCAGTGGCCCCCAGATAACAATAAAGTGACACCACTTAAGACAACAAATGATACACCCCAGCCAGAACAAGCATAAATTGCTAAAGGGATTTCTCTGGAAGCTAGCAAACTCATTCTTCGCTAGAAAAGGGAGCTGTAGATAAACAATTCATTCATCAGGGCCAAAGTAGCAGAATGCACACTGCTGGAGAAGACCATGAAGCTTTCCTCTAGGGAGACCAAAGGCGCCTGAGACAGGGACAAGAGACACCGAATAAGATTCCCAAGTGAGGCTAGCCATGTCTGAACCTGGGACAGAACAACTGGGACTTCCACCAGGAACCTGAACCCAGCAAGATGGAAAATAACCAGATCTTTGGCCAGCTAAAATCCTGCCAACCTGGAACTGGGAACCCAAACATGCCGATTGTCAAGGTAGGCCAACAAACAAAGATACCTAGCTAGGGCCACAATGACCAGCACTAACCTGGTAAAAAGACAGGTCAGGTTCAAACTGAAGGGCCCAGAGAACTACACTTGACACTACCATATGAGTAATAGAAATGAGTAAGGAATTCTGGCCGTGGGCAGGGGCCTGGGGTGCCTGGTGGCAGCTAATGATACCTTTATAAGGGTCAATCTAGTTTTGATTGAACCAATTGTTTCCTTTGAATTGTTTACAGTTTTGATGCTTTGTTTTCCGTGAACTTTCTCGATAGGGTGGCAGATTGTCGCTCACCCCCTCTGCCTCTGTGAGGGGGGCCATGTTCTGGCTCTGGTATCTTGTAGGCTATCTTAAGGTTATCTTGAGATGGTTTTGGGGCTTAGCATCCCTGTGGCCCAGTCCTCAACCAGGCCTTCTTTTTGTTACACATCCCCAGGAAGCAGCCCATAGCAGCTGTCTAACTCCCAGGTACCTATTTACTGCTAGGTGAACAGGGGCACCCGAGTGAAAAAAAACTCTGCCCATTTGTTTCCGCCTCCGCTGGGGATCGAACCCGGAACCTCAGGACTATGAATCCAAAGCGCTGTCCACTGAGCTGTCAGGTCCAGGCTAAACTAAACTCCTGTGACTGATGTGACCCATTAGAATGGAACAATCTCAGTGAAATAGATTAAGGGAGCTACCAAAGGGGGTCATCCATAGAATTTGTTTTTGCTAATACTGTACAGTACCCAACCAAGTTAATGACATGAATTAGATTTGCTGTTGTTTTATTTTGTTTTCCCAAAAATGACACAATCACTGTTCATTTACACTTTAACATTTAATGCGTACCTCTTTAAATACCAAACAGGGACTTGCACTATATAGCTTATAAAATCAATTAGGTATTGTAAAATATTGTGCTACCAATTAATACTCAATAATATGGAGAAAACCAGCAGGAGAGAAGTTTTGCAAACCATCCTGATTGATTATTATTCATCTGGATGTGAAATATAAACACTGTGAGAAGTACACTGGTAAACTTACACATTGCCTCCCATTCTGATTTGGAGAGAGTCCTGACGAGCTCGACACCACTTTTACTGGACAAGTATTCCCGAGCATGTTTGTATTCACCATCTGTTTCTGTTACTTGTTCAACTTCATCAGGAAAATTCTGTTGACAAAAAGTGAAAAAATTTAAGAACATGTTTATGTAGAATTTCCTTTAAAATCTAATCCTCTCCTAAACTGCATGCAAAACTTTTTTCAGCACTACAGCCCAACCTTTGAATGACGATCCAAAAAGTGCTGAACTGTAATATTAATTAGGCTGTCAGTTTCTAATCAAACCTAATAATACACATTAAAATATATCAAGGAGTATGAGGTTTCTCTCATCTTGGTTAAATTATTTTGTTATACCAAGACTTAAAAGCTCAATACTTGTGAGGTATCCCACTTGGTTGGTCACTACAAGATCCTTCTGGCCTCTGGTCAGGACGTGCTACACTCACAGCAGATCGACATTCTAGGCCAGTATGCACACACACACACATTCTTGTGTGTCTAGTTTATTCTTAAGTCTAAAGTAAAGTGTTATGTAATAGAAATGCTGGTGGAAACAAATTACTAAGAATATTTTATAAATGTAGTATTACATGGCAGTACATTGAGCAATGAAGTCTTTTAAAATACAAAACAACAAATAATAAAGACATGCCTCGAGAGCTTTCATAACATTCAACAGATGCTGACATTCCTGGTCCTTTAAAGCATCATTATATACAGTAGCAAAATCTCGACTCCACAGCTGCTGAAGACCCCATTTTTTGGCCAACCTGCAAAAATCATTTAAATTTATTGATTTATAACAACAGAAGGGTACATTATATTCTACAAAACATCATTGCACTATCAATAACAATGTATGTTTCACAAACTTTATTTTAATATTTATATAAATAAAATAAACTGGTTGCTGCCTTCCATTATTCAGCATTAACCACTGCACTGTGCCACCCGACATAACACGGGATATGGCGGTGCGCCACTGACAAGTGGCGCAACCGAGCTTAAAAACTTCATTCTAAAATTCTGAGTATCTTAACAGAAAACGAGGAGAATTAAATGGGGAGGTAAATGTAACAGCCCCATAAGTGCAATTATGTACTATGTATGATGTCAGGAAATGTACTTATTACAGTACACTTAGTATTAAAACGTACTGTCAATTCGGAGGATGGGTTGTAATCTGGTCTCTCTGCAGGATACTGCACAAGACACTGATTTGAGAATCCATATATAAATCATACACGTGCTCATGAAATACAAAGAATTGGTGGCAACTAACTTTTCAAGAGTTGGAGGGTGGACAAGGAATTCCGGGCAGTTCACAGCTCCCTCTAGGAAGAAGTTGTAGCGGTCACCAAATAGTGGTGGATTTTCTGGTCTATCTTCAGGAAATTCTATTTGGTAAACTTCATTTCCAAAACTTCTTCCCCTACTGGATTTCAGTCTGGTTCTGAAATTAAATATACCTTTATATACAGTATATAGCTTAACATCATCTTGCCATAAATTAAACTTTTATAAGAATCACGTAAAATTGAATATATTATCTTGACCATGCAGCGACATTGCTCTTATGGCACCAACGAAAGAAATAAACAAACCGCCACTAACCATTGTTTTAAAAGAAAGCAGGCCACCACCATAAGAAAGTAAGCTAATTGTTGAGTGTGGCCAAAATGTCTGGTTAACCCAGACATTGTGTGCGATTTTTGTTTGGGACAAAAATCACAACACATAAAAATCCCTTGTAGTATTTTGTTGATGCTCTAAGCAATAAAAATCCTACACAAGGAATAGAACTATGCATACTGATATCCTTTGTATATGAAGTCTGTCTGAAATATGTTCCTTTGCAGAAATCCAGAAAGAGGACCAGCATAGAAAGAGAATGCAGACAGCATTACAAAAAAATAAAAAAAAATAATCAAAATGCTTAAACAGCCACAACCATACCCTACAAAGAAAGAATAATTTTAACAGGGAGACTGAAGAAATAAAACATACTGAAGCAATTATATCAGATCAAAGAAATGCAATTAGAACAGAAATCCACACAAGAGATAACAAAAAAATAAAAAATATTTCTTCACCTATGCAAAGACAATAAACAACTTTTATCAGTGTTGGAGCTATTCTTACAAGCCAAGGCTCATACACAGAGGATGACAAAGTAATTGGTGAAATCCTAAAAAATCAATATGAGGACATGTTCAGCAACCCTTCCCCCTCCCCCTTCCACATGCTCTTCCACAAAGAGCATGTGGAAGATCCGGACAGCTTCTTTATGAATGATATCCAAACCCCTGAAAATATAACTGACATCAACACTATACAGATTTTGAAAGAAAAATTAACATGCTCATGCACTCAGTCTCAGGTCCAAACTCATGGAATTCAATAGTTATAGATACAAAATACCAGTAGAACTAGTGCTGTATCTGACATAAAAAACCTAGTAAAGCAAATCATATATTTTGTGAATAAAATGAAGCACTGGTGGAAGATGATGTGACACAAATACACAGAACACTTCAAAGCAAGAGGGATTTGATGTTGCTGTTTCCAACAATATCACAACACTGTAGCCTATGGCTGGCCACCAGTGGTGCACGCAGTTCATAGTTAAAAGAATGACACTAATCATGGGTTATCTTGAGATGATTTCGGGGCTTTAGTGTCACAGCGGCCCGGTCCTCGACCAGGCCTTCACCCTCAGGAAGCAGCCCGTGACAGTTGACTAACACCCAGGTACCTATTTTACTGCTAGGTAACAGGGGCATAGGGTGAAAGAAACTCTGACCATTGTTTCTCGCCGGCCCCTGGGATCGAACCCAGGACCACAGGACCACAAGTCCAGCGTGCTGTCCGCTCGGTCGACCGGCTCGGCTGGGTAGTGAGGGCTTCAAAACAAAGTTCAGAGTGACTGCACATGTTCAAGAGATATCATGACAAAATACTATACTGCAATTGAATTTTGTTGCCCCTGGGTCATCAGGATGAATAAGTAAACATGTGAATGTGCATGTGATTGTGTGCACAATTATATGCACACAATCATCATTTATATATTCTTGGTTCGGTCAAATATGCTCAAACACAAATCATACTATTTGCTAAAAGAAAAAGCTGAAAATTTAGTGATAAAAAGCCCCCCCCCCCCAAAAAAAAAAACCTTTAATTCTAGATTGGGTATGAAACAGTATATTCTTGAATTTGGTGATTGCTGTAATACATAACTTTAAAAACAACATAAACACAGTGGAATAAGTTATTGACAGTACCAAACTATATACCTTTATACCTTTATTTATCTCGGTAAAACAAAAGAAACAGTGCAACTTACATAATTTCATATGCATTGGGAATTGTGGCAACAAAGTAACCACCTTTTTTTAGATTTTCCGAGACATTGCGAAGCATAGTTTCTGCTTGATTGAGGCTTTCAAAGCAGTAGTGGAAAGCAAACTGGCAAGACACGAGGTCCACTTGCTTGTTCGGATTCTCCAAAAGGGGTTTTATTCTTTTCTAAAAAAAAGAAAGAAATTAAATTAAAATAAAATTATATTTATATATGGACACATGACCTGAGAGGATGAATGAGAGGTTCTCAAGACACCAATACTTATGATATCCTTTGCCTTCAGAAATGCTTGTCCCTCCCCAGGTTACCCTAGTTTCTGAGGTGTCCACCCTCCCACAACAGCCCCAAACTAGTTGATTACTGTTACGTACCAAAATCTATGATAGAAAAAGTCCTTAACCTTTCTCCTGATGAACCATAGTGGTAACTAGCCACCTTTCACATCAGTCTTGGAAGCCTCAGTATACATACATCCACCCGAGTCACAGAGATGTAAGAAAGAATTTTTTCAGTATCAGAGTAGTTAATAAATGGAATGCATTAGGAAGTGATGTGGTGGAGGCTGACTCCATACACAGTTTCAAATGTAGATATGATAGAGCCCAGTAGGCTCAGGAATCTGTACACCAGTTGATTGACAGTTGAGAGGCAGGACCAAAGAGCCAAAGCTCAACCCCCACAAGCACAATTAGGTGAGTACCACTCTACAAACCTTATCCCTCTCCTCCTCACCATCTCACCACCTGGTAAAGCAAATCTTACCAAATTAACTAGGTAACTTAGCATGGCTACACCATTCCAGTTTTTCACACTGCACCACTAACTAGATCTCTCACAGCTTCAGCACTCCAATCAGCCAATCTACGGCCCAAAAGCAATCCAGCTGTCCATCATAAAGTAGCTACAATATCCCCTGAAAATACATCAAAATCTGAGAGGGCTCACATGATAGCAGTGATGACTTCCCATGCAGGTGGTTTTCTATTAGTGACTCCCATATCAATAACACGGGCACACATTTCTAGACAAAATTTCCCATATTATTGCCACAATCAACAGGTATATTTGTGTTGAGGACGAGACTGGCAGATACAGCTAACTTAGCCTGCTCTACTAAAGCGCAGGAAACTTATACTCAAAGAGATTCCTCACATTCTACAGTTTATTATTTTTCATGCTTACATGCAACTTTTTTTTTTTCCCAGGAAGGTCTAAACCAATGCCTGTTTGTAGGCATAGCAAGTAGGGCTGGCAATTTCCCTATTTTTGCAATACCAGTATTGTTATTATATATCACTATGCCATCTAGCTTTCCAAGAGTACATTATATTGCAGCTTCTCTGTACTTTATGTCTTTATTAACAATGTTAAAAAACCAGCATTAAATGTAATGAAATGCCATTTTCTGGGTGAGACCCAGAGGTTCCCCGGAGCTATCCAGGCTGATATGGATATATTAAACTTTGGCATCAGTCAAAGTGCATGGAGTTCTAGGCCTACCGGGGACCACGAATTAGAACCTAGCCCCCTTCAGAGAGGCACGAGGAGCAATGGCCAATAGTAACCCCCCCTTGTGTGGTTGGAAGCATTCTATGTCTGCCATCGACTGGGACAGGCACCCACAAAGCTAAGCGCCCCAAAACAAACCCCTATTCTGGTTAACATTGTTACTGAAAGCCGAACTAGTGGACAGAACTCCCCAAATGAAAACTAGCAAACGAGCATGACGTCACCCTGCCGCTGTCTGCACAACCACCCCCTCCCCAGGAGGAAAAAGGGGGAGACCCAGACCCCCACACCGCCTAACCACACACCAATTCTGAGGCTGGATGTCAAAACACACGAAAAACCGCTGATCGGAGGGAGGGAGGGTTGCCACGGAGCCTCTAGGTCTCACCCAGAAAATAGCGTTTCATTACATTCAACGCTGGTTTTCTGAGGGGAGCTGCAGCTTCCCGGAGCTACTTACCCAACGACAAGACAAAACAAAAGGGACTTACCCGGAAGGCGGCTGCCACTCGCTCCTGAATTCGAAGTCGAGACAACTGGCTGCAACCTGTGACCCAAAGCTACACACGCCCGAGAAGGGCCAGGCACATTAACGAGGTACCGTGTGGCCAGGACCCTGTTCGACCTCCAAAAACCCTGTGACTGAATGTCAGCCGAAGACATATTACCAAAAACAGCAGCCAAAGCCGCAAACTCACAAACGTCATGGGCATGGGGATAGACTGCAGGCTGGCTGGCTGGACCAAATAATCCTGCGGACGAACTGGGAGACCTGCGCCCTTGAACAGGGAAGAAGGGAACTGGGTCAACTCAAAGTGCATCTCTTGCCACGTCCCTTGTGGCGCGCAAGCAACAGCGAAGAGCCGCAAATGGACACAAAACATGATGCATCCCCGGCCGAACCAACCAAGCATCAACAACCCAAAGACCCCTCTGGAAACCAGCAGTCTCATTCTTCACCAGAAAAGGAGATGACTGCAAACGAACAAACCGACCACCAGGAATGAAAGAGCAGGAACCCCTGCGCCGGAGGAAGGCCATGAAGCCTTCCAGAAAAAGCCTTCTTTCTTCCTGAAGAAAAAGTTGGATGGTGGCCATGAAGGCCACCATCCAACCCCCCAAGAGGCCAATGCCAAAAGAAAAAGAGCCTTGGAAAAATAATCTTGAACTGAAGGGGGCCATCACAAACTGTGAAGGAGAGAGAAAAGTGAGCACCAGGTCCAAGGACCAAGATGGCTCAGGCTGCGCATGAGCAGGCCGGAGGTAAAACAAAGCATGAGAAATCTTGCAAAACGAGGCCGAAGTGACATCCACCCTGAATGCAAGCTGGAGAGGCTCCGCCGGTTACTGCTAGCTGGTTAAACCCAAAGGCTAACAAAGGGGGCGAGCTATTAACTAGACCCCTGTGATGTGTACAAGCACGAGGGCCTAGAGGGGGGGCCACCAATTTACCATATGTGGACTAATAACCAAACAAGGCATACCCTCCTCCTAGCAAGAAAAACAAAAATAAAATAAAAAAAAAACGCAAAAGCACAGCGCCACCAGAAGGAACAAGAACATGGTCGCTGCATACCTGGTTGATACCTGGTTGATGGGGTTCTGGGAGTTCTTCTACTCCCCAAGCCCGGCCCGAGGCCAGGCTCGACTTGTGAGAGTTTGGTCCACCAGGCTGTTGCTTGGAGCGGCCCGCAGGGCCACGTACCCACCACAGCCCGGCTGATCCGGAACTTCTCTTAGAAAACCGTCCAGTTTTCTCTTCAAGATGTCCACGGTTGTTCCGGCAATATTTCTTATGCTCGCTGGGAGGACGTTGAACAACCGCGGACCCCTGATGTTTATACAGTGCTCTCTGATTGTGCCTATGGCACCTCTGCTCTTCACTGGTTCAATCTTGCATTTTCTTCCATTTCGTTCACTCCAGTACGTTGTTATTTTACTGTGTAGATTTGGGACCTGACCCTCCAGTATTTTCCATGTGTATATTATTTGGTATCTCTCTCGTCTCCTTTCTAGAGAGTACATTTGGAGAGCTTTGAGACGATCCCAATAATTTAGGTGTTTTATCTCGTCTATGCGTGCCGTATATGTTCTCTGTATTCCCTCTATTTCAGCAATCTCTCCTGCTCTGAAGGGGGAAGTGAGTACTGAGCAGTACTCGAGACGGGACAGCACAAGTGACTTGAAGAGTACAACCATTGTGATGGGATCCCTGGATTTGAAAGTTCTCGTAATCCATCCGATCATTTTTCTGGCTGACGCGATATTTGCTTGGTTATGCTCCCTAAACGTTAGATCGTCGGACATCATTATTCCCAAATCCTTGACATGCTGTTTTTCTACTATGGGAAGATTCGATTGTGTTTTGTACCCTGTATTATGTTTCAGATCCTCATTTTTGCCGTACCTGAGTACCTGAAATTTATCACTGTTAAACATCAGGCATAGGTAAGTGAGCAGCACAGCACCTTGCTCCCCAACCAACACCACCACCACTTCCTACCGAAAACCAAAGACCAAAAAACCTCAGCTGGCCCCAAGAGCGGGGTAAGTGCCAAGCAGCAGGAACCCCTACGGAAGTGGAATCCCGACGGCTCTATGGGAAGTAACCCTAGAACCCAAGGGTAGTACTTACAGGTGCTTAGCAAAGGTAGCCCTTAAGCGCATACACTGAAGTTACTCCTGGCCACCGCACCACAAAGAGCAAAAAACACCACGAAGGCACAAATCCGCCAAGAAATCGAGGCCGGAGTTGACGACCGCCCCAGAGTGCATCAGCCTATGAACTGAAGGTATGAGTAGCCGGTGCATTCCGGGGCTCATACCTGAAGGCGCGGCAGCGGTGAATGACGTTTGCTTGTTTCCTCATGTTTTGGGGGAGTTCTATCTGTTCAAATCTTCAGTTACAATTTCTTAGCAGTTGGGGTTTGTTTTGTTATGCCTACCTTTCTGGGTGCCTAACCTCGGTTGATTGGAGACATGGAATGCTCCCAAACACACGGGGGGGGGGGTTCTATAGGCCATTGTTCCCTGCGCCTCTGAGGGGACCAGTTTCTAGCGAGTGGTCCCCAGTAGGCAGACTTCCAATTGACTGATGCTCCAGACTAATATAGCATATTAGCCCAATAGCTCCAGGGAGCCGGAGGGGCTCTCCACAGAAAACCTACGTTTGTTTAATAAGAAACTGCAGATCATGTCAACATACACAGGGGATATTTTTACCTTTGTACAGTCTGCAAGAATGAATTCTGCAGTAAACCCTTTTCCGCGGCCCTTCTTCTTGTTTAACTCATGTCGCTCCTTGCACTGATCTAGGGAAGTTTCTGCAATGTCTGCACATACAAGATGTCGTATATTTCCCTGCAATGATTAAACAAATATTACATGTACAAAACCCTGAAATGCATTCCTCACACATTTAAAATTTACTTTTGGACTACACAGCATTTCAGATCTATTTTGTTCCACAAAGAAACTCTCATGAGGTCAGACATGCCTCTAGGCATCCCTGAACTAGTCTAGTACAAGCTGGGTATTACCTACTAGTGCATCACAATATGTAACAATAGTTAGAATACACACCTTTCACTTTACATTTTATGGAAAGTTTTCCACTTATGTTGATTATTTAAATAAAATACTATCTTATATACCATGGAAAATAAGTTTTTTTTATTAAAACTTATTAATGAAAGTTCAAATACAGCTAGACAACATATTTTATTTGTGATTTCACCACATTAAGTAATGGTAATGTCTTCTCACAGACATAATAGCATAGGATAAAACCCCACAATTATGTACTTGTGGAATTTATGCAAAGAATTACACCAAGTCTTTCGCACTCTCCTGAGTGCTTTATCAAGGTCTGAGTGTGTTGTTAGGACGAGACTTACATTAGTCATCGAGATGCAAGTCTAATCCTAACCACACATTCAAACCGTGATAAAGCACTCGGGAGAGAGTGAAAGAATTTGGTGGAATTCTTTACATAAATTTCACAAATACATAAGTGTGGGTTTTTATCCTATTTCACTACATTTATATCATCTGCAACACATGTTATATTTTAAGGAAAATGAACAATCAATTCATTGTTGCTTTCATTTATTGCAAGTTCATTTGTAATGCAGCCATGCTGCCTTACTTAAAATAATAATAAGTATGAATCAAGACATTCTGCTAGCTACTTTAGTATGAAGTAAGCTGTATTTTTATCAGTGCAAAGCAGATGAAAACATCTAGCATTGAAAGTACTAATTAAATGCCAATTTCTGGGTGAGCCCTGATAGCTCCCTAAAGCTATCTTAATGAGATGGCTCCCAACTACTAGATCGCATCAGCAGTGGAGTTCAGTTCAGCCAACCAGGAACAATGGCTAGAACCTAGCCCCCATCACAGAGGTGCAGGGGGGGGGGGTAGGTGACACTCCGCCACCTTAGTGATGGGGGGGCTAAGTTCTGGGAAAGCAACCAGAAAGTCAGCAAACCCAAACAGACCACTGCTGGTGCTGGGTTCAATCAAGAAGACCAAAGCCTTAAAACCTGCCAAAATGAACCTCTGCCACGTACACAAATGGTCGAATCTCTCAAAACAAGTGCGACCTCGTTAGCACTAACCCCCACCCCAGGAATGGGGTGTGATGGCTAGAACTCCCTGTTCCTTCCTGTTTTTCCACACCAGTTCTGGAGCGGATGTGCAGATGACACGCACTAACCGAAAATGTGGAAGGGAACAAGAGAATCAACTAGAAAGAGGCATTTTATAACATTAAAAGCTTGTTTTCTGGAGGAGCGCCTTGTGACTTTCTGAAGCTAACTACCACAGAGAAGGGAAAAGCAAGGACTCACCAGGGAGGAGGGGAGATTGCAGGCAATCAAGACTGGCTGGTCTAGAGACACAACACAATGTAAAACAAGCATGATGAGACCCGGGTACATCAACGAAATACCAGACTGCCAAGAACCTGTGAAACTGTCAAAACTCACATGTTTGAATATCAGCTCGAGAAATGCCAGCAAAGACTGCTGTGAAGCAGCAAAGACTGCTGTGAAAGCAGATTAACTGTGAACATCATGGGCATGAGGGCAGACAGCAAGCTGGCTGGACTTGATGACATTACAGATGACCTGAGAAACAAGAAGCCTGAAACAGGGATCTAAGGAAACAAGATCAACTCGCAAAGCATTCACCGAGGAAGAACCAGTGGCATGATGGTAGTGGCACAGCGCCTCCACCAGGCACAGTACATGCTGCATCTCCAGTCGACCCAACGTTTGACAGGCAAACAACAGGTATAAGGATGCATCCAAAAAGCCAAGTTATGCAGAACTCAATCCTTAGGGAGAACTTAATGATCAGGCAGGGTCCAGGGAAACCCCCAATCAGACTCTTCCCCAAGCACTGGAAACCAAACATAAAGGCTATAATACAGAGCACAAGTCCATGGTCACCACCCAGGATAGGAAACCAGAGTCCAAAGGAGAGGTTTAGGAGAAATGGGTCGGCTGGAAAGAACAAAACCCCAAAATTATCGTGGGACCTACAACTATCTATCTAAGGAGGCTGTCCAACTAAGGCTCCTCCAACTAAGGAAGCTCAACTATCTCCACACCAAAGTGGAAGAAGCCATCCCTGGAGACAGTCGAGCCACATACGAGCTAAACCCTGTCTTGACTCAGAAACCCTCGACCTTTCAGAGCTGAAAGCAAGGAAAAAAAAAACAGAAGACAGACATGCCATACCCAAAGGGGTAGGAAGCAGAGATACAGATAGAATCAGGGTGGAATGCACAAACACCTACAATTCTGGGTCCCTAAAAACAAAATGGGCCAACTCTGGGGCATCCAACCGAGCACACAACTAAGATCCCTGAAGACAAATAAAACAAACCTGTAAAACAGTAGCTGCCTGATGAGCTTGATTTTTATTGGGAGGGTCAGAAAGAAGTCACATGGGAAAAGCAAACCCTACAGGACTGAGGAATAGTAGATGTCGCCAATCCAACCCACACCAAAACCCACAAGGTTTTGGTGTGGGTTTTGTTCTTTTAAAACCTTTAAAAACCCAGGAGCTGAAGGACAAATCAAACAGTATACCCGGGCACTGGGCAAGCTCACTGGATATTATACAGCAGGCCGACACAGCCTAATTAATGCGGCTGTGAAGGCCAACCTCGGTGTGCCAAGCAAAGTGCATGAGCCACCAGTGTGCCCCAACCAGCCAAAATGTTTGCTCTCATTCAAGGGCCTAGACAATGGGGCAGAAAGACCCTGACTAACCCAAGGCAAAGCCCCCATTCCAGTGGCCCCTACAGTTAAAAGAATGAACTCCTGAACATACCAGAGAAGAGAATTCTGTCAGTGCAGAGGCAGCACCAGGGAGCACTCAGGGAAGGTAACCCTGAGCACAGAGCTCCAAGTTCCCTACGAGCTAAGTCCACACAACACACACTGGACTCACACTCATGAAGCATAACTAAAAACAAGGAACAACAGAGAAAATGGCAACCGAAGGACAAAGCCCAAGGACGGCCAGGACTTAGTTTAAAAGCAGCGGGACATATACAGCTTACTGAAGACCCAAGGACCCCTACAATGGACCTTCACACCCACATCCATATCACTGGCAGAACTAATATGAAAGACTGGAAGGGACTGGGAGTTCCATGCCTTTTCCAACTGATGTGGGGGGGTGTAGCGCTAACACTATCGTACTCTTCGAATGCCCCTTGCATTCAATTTTTTCTCTCGTGTCCGAGCATCAGACTGTGCTCATGTGTGATACAAAAATATTTGTATAAAATTCATTTATTATATGATCGACTTTGGGATAGTTTCAAAATGAGCGCCTTTAGAGTGCACACAATTTGATACCAAAATGAAAGATGTAACACGAAAACTGATATCAGAACACTAGAAAGATTATAAATATGTTTTTGGCCAAAATTGTAAAATATTTGTTAAAATTCTATTTATTGTGCTATTATTATGGGACTAGTTTTAAAATGCGTGCCTTTAGACTGCGAACACGTTGAACCAAAATGAAAGATGTAATGTAAAAATTTATGTCAGAACAATGGAAAGATATAAATAATTTTGTGATGATGAGCGTCCAAAATTAAAATATTTGTTAAAATTCCATTTATTGCTCTATTATTATATGACAAGTTTTAAGGAGCTCGTGCTTATTTCCAGAGACTATCTTTTATTTACATTGTTGGGAGGAATTCGTTTGACAGTTTTGAAGCTTCGTCTCTTTGAATCCAGCAGAGGTATGTACTGGTTTGCTGACTTTCAGGATGCTTTCCGAAAAATGAGAGAGTATCACCTGCTCTCTGCACCTCTGTGATGGGGACAAAGTTATGGTTCTGGTTCCTGGTAGGCCAAACAAAATGCCACAGCTGATGTGACCTAGTAGCTGGGAGCCATCTCAGATGGAGAGCTTCCTCATCAGCTTCAAACAAGCCCAATATGAGGCTTCAACCTCAATTAGAAGCAAAGCTATAAATTTTTTGGGGAGCTGCTAAGCAAAAAAGTTGCATTTTACACATTGGCAACCCTGATTGCCAATAAAATTGTGCATATTTAAGTTACTTCATAACCTCTACTATCCTACCAAATTTTATGAAAAACTGAAATGGTTGGGTTGATTAGTCAACTTTTTTGTGATGACTAATTTTTGCAACTTTGGAATAACCAAGTACGGTAGTGGATTCTATTTACAATAATGTATCTCATATATATATATATGAGATACATTATTGTGAGATACATTATATATATATATATATATATATATATATATATATATATATATATATATATATATATATATATATATATATATATATATATATATATAAACATCAGTCATTTCATATCAGATAATTATTGATAATGGTGCTTCAATTACTGTATTATTTATACTGTATTTTCATTCTCAATGTATGAATATTATTTAATTAACAATACAGTACAGTATTGGAGTTCTACAAACAAATAAATAATTGTAAAAATCTATCTTTAATTTTGTTTTACCTCATCCACAAACCAAAACCGAAAATTATATATTGGACATGTAATTATTTATTTTACAGGAATTAAAAAAAATTGAATTTACATTGTTATATATAAACTTGTACATACTGTACCTGTATATGTAACTATACATGTATATGTATTTATGTGTATGTGTGTGATGATCTATTAGTATTTACAAAAGTAGAGCCAGGGTTAAGTTTCTAATATCTGGTCCCATAAGGTATGTTATTGGTGTTAAATTTGAATTTAAAAATATAAACAATAATCTTAAGACACTGACAATATGTAAAGCAAGAGGAGACATTTATCTATAAATTG